TTTGGACTTCAGTGCGGTTTGAACTATACACTTGTGCTCCTGCCACTGACTATCCCAACATCCTGGTTCGTAAATGGCATGACTGATCACAGTTTGGAGCATGTACAATATTGGCTGATTGTAAATCACGAGATTGTGCAAACTTCAAAACATCTGAGTTGGAGGGTTGCCTTCGGCTTTTTCATATCAGTATTAAAATGTACATGGCTCACTAAGAGAAAACTCCTAATTAATCTGCTAATTTGAGGAAAATATCTGGCAACCAGCTGTATTGTGCCACAGAATTATGTGATTTATATCCCTGACGTTTCAGTCTTCCCAGAAAAAGTGACATCCTTCAAGGAAAAGAACTTGCTTCAGAATAACATTCTGGTTTTGTGAAAAGATTTTTATTTTGTTCCCTCAAAATATATTGGAAACATATGGAGAGATTAGGATATGCATAACAGTTCAGAAAGAACAAAAAAGTACTTCCTGGAAGAATGACGACTGTACTTTTTAGTGCCACCTGTTCATGTGAAAAAATATGGCAACTATAAATGTGACAAATTACGTTAACAAACAATTCTTAGAACTGTGAACTGTGAATTATTTCATTTTTGCAATGTTAAAAATATGGAACTACCAATCAAAGTTCCCTTTTCTACAGTAATTCTGTAGTGAAGGACTTTGATTTAGGGAAACCCCACTGTGATTCACACTGAGTTTATTTTTTCATTATTTAGTCAGTGATGAGCATTCAAGTTTCACCTTAGCAAGAGAAGAATTAAAGCCATTAGAGGATTTTAAAATGTTTCATATATAGTTCATATATAGGGGGAAGAGAACACTATCCTGAAGAATCACATACAAGCTATAGGTAAGTTATACACAAGGTCAGTGGAAATTCCTGTGACAGAAAATTGCTGGAGGCTCAAAAACTCTTCTGGGGAAATACTTGTCCTTTTATACTTCCGCCTAAAGATCATTTCCAGTTGGTGCCGAAAAGTGGATAAACCTAGATCCGTGTGCTAGATGGGCCTGTGCAATGCTTGTGCTCCTACCTAGAACTGAGAAACAAGGAATGGTGAATAGAGTACCTAGAAAAGGGATATTTAGAGGTCTCTTGACTCATGACAAGCAAAAAAGGTGCAGTTTTGTCAAGAAAGAAGTGCATGAATATTAAGTATGGTTATTGCTAATACAAAGAGTCATAAGGCTGTACTGCCTGGGGGAAGAATGGAAACCCCCCCTGAAAACAATGGTCCTTTGTTCACAACAGCATCACTCCTCCCTTTCTTAGACATCATGTTTGGGTTTATCTGTGCTGAGCAGATGGGTCCTGCACCTGGTGGGTGATTCAAGGTAACCTGAGTAGAGTATGGGTGCTTGTTTTCTGGGCAAGGGCTGTTTCTGAACAACAGTTAGAGGTAGGTAAGTGCCAGGTTTCTCTCTCTCCATTGGTTATATAGAGACATCAGGCATACTTCAGGAAGAGTCAGTGAGTTAGGAGATGCCAAATCGAGTACCTTGACAAAGGTGAGGCTAGTGCAGCACCATGCCCAAAGTCCATCCAGTAGAGGTGTTCCCAGAAGTGCATCCACATCCACATACATACATACATACACGTACACACACAGAAATGTGGATCTGCCAGTAACCTAGGCTCAGACACTCTGATCATGGACACACAGACCTGCAACCTCTGGTCCCACCCTAAGGTGGGTGGGTCTGGTGAGACCTCGCTTACCCATGCATATAAGACAGAGACCCTTGCTCATGAAACATGCTCATGAGCATCCAAGGAAGGGATACAAAGATGGTGAAGGATCTAAAGGGAAAGACATATGAGAAGCAACTGGTCATTGGATTTTTTGGCCCAGAGCAGGTTGAGGGGAGGCCTGATGGCGGCTGCAGCTCCTCACAGGGAGCGGAGGGCAGCGCTGAGCTCTGCTCTGTGTGACAGCGACAGGCCCGAGGGAACGGCATGGAGCTGCGGCAAGGGAGGGCAGCTGGGGGTGAGGGAAAGGGTCTGCACCACAGGGCGGTGGGCATGGAACAGCCTGCACAGGGCAGTGGGCACGGCGCTGAGGTGCCGGAGCTCATGACATGTTTGCACAGTGCTCTTAGTCACATGGTTTGTTTATTGGGCGTCCCTGTGTGGAGCCAGGAGTTGGACTCAATGGTCCTCATGGGCCCTTTTCTAACTTGGGATATTCAATGATTCCATGAGCCTTTAGCCACTCAATCTAACACAAATGGGTCTGCAAGCAAATTGAGGGACTGTGTAGACACCAGTTAGCACTCAGTAAATTCATTCCAGCACTTTCAGGTTTCCTTGGAAAGGATAGTATGGCAACATGCTAACTGCTGTGTGATGGGAAGAGCAGATGACTGAAAGCTGTCCTTCCCCCATTTGAGGGAGATGTGCTGAAGGGCACGCAGTGGGACACCACTGCAGATGGTGAAATGGGACATGACTTTGTGGCCCAACATGATGGAAATTCCCAAGACAGAGGGAAGACACTGCTTCTGCTTCCTCTTCCTGATGTTGTTTAAGTTTTTCAGTTGATGACTGTGAGCACATAAGTGGCTCCCACAGCTAGTCCTAGAAACCAGGACTCTCTAATCCTGTCATTGGCTGTCCTAAAAAGTAATTTATTTAAAGTTTCCAGGAAGATAGCCAGATGTCCCCTCCCACCCTCTGCCTGACTCAGTATCCTCTGGTCACGTTAAAATTTGGCAACAGTCCTTTTGCAGAAATGTGCATGGCAGCAGAACCTTCCAGTACAATCTGTAGCTTGTGATTTCCTAATGTTCCCATTGCAGCCCCTGGATCCTTCCAATTAATCTGCATGTCTTCTTTGCTTGTATGTGTTTAAATATGCCTATTGTGCCTTCAGAAAATAAAAGAAAAAAAGAATAGAGAAATAAAGAGTGATCTACTCCCTAGGGAAAAAAATTACTGAAAAAAAGAAGAAAGAAATGGGGGTATTAACTCAAGATCTAAATTTGAATAAGTATACAGAAACACATGAGGAATAAATATTTACAGGGAGAAACACTAATTTAGAAACAGAGAAGTTAAGGAGTATTTCACTAATCCCAGGATCATTTGAGTTGTTCAGACTTTGCAGTATCAAAAATGAAGTTTAACTGGACAAGGAATCATGCGATTGAATCTCTTTAAATCTGTAAAAGCTGTTTTCCAGAATCATCTTCCTACTTATTTCAATGACTTCAATGTATTCAGTGATTTCAATGTATTATTGCTTTGAGATGTTCAGTATTATTTTTATTCAATAACTCCACATAAGAAATATAAACATTAAAAAGTATATAGAAATTTACTTTTCCAGGAGTAGTATCTGCTCTGCTACACTTCAGTGTGGTAGGGGATGCTGCATTACAGTGATAGTAGAACTATATAGTAGTTATATAGCCTTGGTACTTGAGAAACTAATTTGAATACTTCCTGAAGGGTATTTCCAACTTCTTTGGAGCTGAACTCAGTGTGAATCTCTTCCAGTTTGGGATATTCCAAAATTCAGTGATTCTAGAACAATAAAGTTTTCACCCTGCATTATATTTCTTCAGATCAAACCCTTCTGAGGTATCAGAAATAAAGGAGAGTGGTACGTATTTGCATTTTCCCATCTCACACCAGCCTTTATTTTTCCTTTTTATGACATTTAATTACACACAAAAAAATTTTTATAATGTACTGGGAGAAACCTATAGAGGTTTCCACAGAGTGTCTCTGGCAGGAGAACAGCACCACATTCAGCCTGACAACTTTCAGAGTTAGCAAGCTTGCAACCCCTTCAGGCCACCTACACTGGTACTTAGCTGTCCTAGCAGTTAGAAATACCTTCTTGAAATTAGGGGTCTACACTATGAGTGCCTGCATACCCTACATATGTAAAATCCTCTTATTTCAGCATAAACTTAGCCAATACAGTCAGCTTCTGTTGATCTTAAAATCTGTACCATATGATCAGTAGAGTCATTCCCTAGAATCCATTTTCAAAAAGGAAGGTCAGATTCCTACATTACATATAGAGATATCTATGCATCAAAACACTTAAAGTTGATTCTACATCAGAGCATTGTTCATTTGGTCATACCTGAGACACACACCTGAGGCTTGCTGCCATAACATGGGAAGCATGAAGACCTACATCCTTGCAGGGTAGCTGGAGGTCGGGTGGGATTTCCTAGAAGACCTGAAATTGCACAAATACTCAGTTAGCCAAACCCTGTGTCTACATATAATCACTCTTGTTTAAGACCACTGTGCAGTCCTGGAAAACATTTACAGCCTGTCTCTCAGGAGCAGTTCTTCATTTATTTAACAACACTTACGACTCTCCTTGATGAAACAGGGAACACAATGTTACAGAATGGTTTTCAATCTTTATTTTCAAGGTATATAAATGTTCCCATTGGGCTTTGTGTAGTCTTCCCAATCAAAGAATATCTCTGTGCATGGATCCAAACACTCCATTGCATTTTTTTTTCCAAGAGTATAAACATTATTCTGTTTATCATATATATGTATGGAAACATAGCTTATGTGTTCCAGTAACCTGACTGTTTGTTTAACATCAGTCAAAAACTGTTGAAGCATTTTAGCTCTCCGTTTTGGGAACAGCGCAAGATTGTTTCAAACAGAACTGCTAATTATCTCATGGCAACTCACCTGGATTTATTATGCTAATTACTCCCAGATCAGTTATTTGCATTTTCTTTTATGTTATCGATACTTATTTTGACTAAATGTATCTTATTATTTATTGTAAGAGAACATATGTTTTTACTGATTATAGTACAATGCAATATTATGTTATTGCTATATCTTATTTCATATTATAGCTCCAGTATCAAGAACTTGCCCCACAAATTGCATATATATATATTTCATATATATTGTATATATGTGAAATGTAATTCCATCTTTTATCTGATGAGTATTTCCTTAATTATTAAAAACACTATGAAATTGCCCAAAACAGAAGGCTCAGGGGAAAAAAAAAAAAAAAAAAAAAAAGAATGGTAGCATTAGTTAAACTCATTTCATCACTCCCTAATGATGAAACAGTTATGCATCATTTTTACTAATCAGAGGATATTATGCAGCATGAGTCAGACTGTCACTGATTTACAATTTAGCTATATAAACAGAGCTGAGAAACGTGTTCAATAGGTCAAGACTTCGCAGTGTAGCTGAAGCAGAGAACCTTTGACAAGAATGAAGGTCCTTTCTCTTCTCCTCTTGCTGTATGTGGCAGTCTCCTCTGCTTTCCCTGTGGCTCCTGAAGAAGAAGATGAAGGAAAAAATATAAATCTTGTGGAGGTAAATATTTTCTACTGCATTTCTAAATGAAAACAGAAAGTAGTCAAAGAGATAACCAGAATTATTTTCAAAGAATGTGACTTTAAACGATTTTTCATTTTGCAAAGGCTTCAAGAGAAAGCTTTTCCTATTAACCTGCAATTTTTGAGAGAATTTTCTTGAAATTACTTACCTATATGTTATCTAAAATTGCACAACTTCACTTTGATGTTGTCAGTAAGATGTTAAAAATAATACAGACACATAAGTTCTAGTCTCAAGGCTGCATGACTGCAGAATTAGTCAAAATCAGGAACAGGTTATACTTCAAAATGTGCTTTGAAAACCGTGACCTGATCAGGCTTGGTAACACAGGGAAAGAAACTCATTTGAATTATGTATGTATTTCAGTATTTGTTTGAATTGATCTTTTACGGAATATTTTTTTAGACATCTTCAAGAAATGCAATAATTATATAAATATATCACTAATTATTGGAGAAAAAGTTGTTGAAATTTAATAGGAATATCTGGTTTTCTCGAGTCATATTTCATAGCTAAAAATAAATGACATGATTTGCCAAATGCTGACTCTCTTGCTCTATTCACTGAACTTGTCAGGAGTCCTATGTCTGGAGCTTCACTGCTAATTTGTATTTCCTTGAATGAGATATATGAAGTTATAAGCTTCCTTAAAAGCTCTGCTACTAAAATAACAGGTTATAATAAATAAATGTGGAATTAACTATTAGTAGCAAATATTAGATTTTAAATACAAGTTCTCCATATAGTCAATCAGTGAAAAAAGTAATTCAGGTAACTGTGAAAGCTGTAAATCATATGTACCTTTTCACACTGATTCTTGGAAAAAATAGGTGGCTTTAGCCCTTGGTAGACACAAGGCTTCATGATAGAATAGTTCAAGATTACTTAGGAAATGTAAATGTGACTGAAGACAATGCTGATACATCGTAATACTCTTCTTTTTAAAAATTCTGGTTCAGACTTATCTACAGAATTTCTACAATCTTCAAAAAGATCATCGACCTCATCTAAGGCAGGGGGGTAAAAATCATCTTGCTGAAAAGCTCAAGGAAATGCAGGAATTCTTTGGACTACAAGTGACTGGGAAACCTGATCGTGACACTTTGGAGATGATGAATAAACCCAGGTGTGGTGTTCCTGATGTAGAGCAATACGTCTTCACAGCAGGGAATCCAAAATGGAAGAAAACTAATCTGACATACAGGTAACATTTCCTAATCTGCTTCAAATAGATGTAAATCTAGCATTTCAGTTTTGGGGGCCTGAAGGAAAGTACATTATGACCTATCCAAAATGATATCTAGAATGATTAACTGATTTCTAGAAACAGGCACTGTAGAAGGCATTATCTAAAGTTAAGTCATTATTGATTTGTACTTATGAAAGATATACTTAATATATATTACTTTTGTAAAATGTTTACAATTTATATTATATATAATATAAATGAATATTTTTCAACTGAAACTCTGTATTTTTAGTATTATGTAATGCTTTCATTTTCCTTTGAAGGATTGTGAATTACACCAGAAAGATGAGACAAACTGATGTAGATGAAGCAATCCAAAAAGCTCTGAATGTGTGGAGCAGTGTGACACCATTGACATTTCAAAAGATTGAGGACAAAATTGCAGATATAATGATCTCATTCGCTTATAGAGGTAAAACTGATATCTTTACATATTGAATAGATATCTGAAATCATAGAAATAACTTGGGATTCTAAATGATTTTTTACTCTTCATTTTAGATCACAGAGATAACTCTCCTTTTGATGGGCCTGGTGGGCTGCTGGCTCATGCTTTTCAACCAGGAGAAGGTCTTGGTGGAGATGTGCATATGGATGAGGAGGAAACCTGGACAAAAGATGGAAGAGGTAAAGGCTGAGACCAAATCCATTTACACAGTTTTACCTTGTACAATTTTTCTTGTGTGGTAGTTAGCTCATAAGACTAGTTGCAGATAAAAAGTGAGTAAGAGGCAGAGCTTGTCCTTTTAATTTATTTTTTATTTTTTGCCAATGATTCATTGGTAGGAATCTTTCTTCACCTAGCACTTCAGTGTTCCAGATTAGTGAATTCAAATGTCATCAAAACTCGTGTTGTGAAATATTGTTCTTTTGAATCACTGAACTTTCAAAATCATTGGAATGATCTTTGATTCTGAGCAGTTTATGCAATAGCAGGAGAAATAGGGATTGTGTTTAAGATACAAGGATACTGGAGGAAGGATAAAGGGATCATAATTAGAACATCCAACATTCTTCAAACACTCATATAGATCTTCAACTACAAGATTTTTTGAGTTATAATGTGGGTAGAATTACTTATAGCCTGTCTTGTAGCTGTAGCACATTTTGTTAAGTTGCATAAAACTCTTTTCCATTATAAATACTGTGGTAAATACCAAAACAGATTTTATCTGTTTCCTATGATTTTTATCACACAGGCTACAACTTGTTTATTGTTGTTGCCCATGAGCTTGGCCATTCACTCGGTCTGTCCCATTCAAATGATCCTGGAGCCCTGATGTATCCAAATTATGCCTACACGGACCCCAAAGAATTCCTTCTTCCTCAGGATGACATTGATGGCATTCAAGCCATATATGGTAAGAAATAAATATTTTTTGTTTAATAGTTCTATTTGGAGACTGGCTAATAATGATAAGAATATATTTTAAAAATGTTTGTTTCACGTACATGAAAAGTCTAAGTGTTCTAAACAATGGATAACAGAATAAGGAAAAACCTGGAAGCTACCTGCAGCTGAAGAACCGCTCTGGAAAAAAAATCTTGGAAAAAGATGAACTCAACTCCTTTAACAATGTTAAAAGTTTGGGTTTTCTGACAGAGATTCAGTACACGATGATATGCCCTTTCATTTTCTTTAAACAAGATCTTTGGCAACCATGGACACCTTCTGAACACTGTATTTATTCTATATTTTCCTAAATACAAACCAAAAGATTTTTATTTTATTTTCCTTCCTTTAGGACAGTCTAATGATGCTGTGCAGCCTACAGGGCCAACAACTCCACAAGCTTGTGATCCTAATTTGACATTTGATGCCATTACCACTTTGCGTGGAGAAATGATATTCTTTAAGGGCAGGTAATACCAATAAGCACATATATCATCTCTTAAAAGTATCCAGTAGCTTTAAAAAAAATCAGTAATCCATGAGGGAAAGCTATCATTTTGAAACGTAGTACAAAGACAAAGAGTATAAAACTAGTATGTACCAATTTACCCAAGACAGAGTTCTTAACTCATTAATATCAAGAGTCATAATTGACAAAAGCAGTGAAGGAGATCGAGACTGGTAGTCTTTTTTCTAAATATTATGCCATTGTGGCCATTGCTGTGCTAGATTTGGTTCTGAACTAGATTCAACTAATAGCAAAGCAACACTATTCGTATATTCCTTTATGATGTGCTCATGTGTCCCACAGTGTAAGCCTTCTGCTGCACAACTATACAAGAGCAAAGCCATGACTGAAAGTACTAGTACATAGAAAGACATACTAGGTGTTCACTGACACCAACGGTCAGCCTTCCTGCCCAATGGAGAAATAGAAGGGCTTATATTTCTCTTGCCTGATTTTGGTGCGGAGGTGCTAAAGTTCAGATTGCAGCCACTCTAGACTTCCTTTGCATTCATTGGAGAGGGATACATACCCAGAAGGTCATTTTGTCATGAGACAGAATATATCACTTAGTGGAGGTACTTTTCTCTCTCCAAGAGCTATAATCATTGTCTGACATCTGTGAAGAGTGGAACTATTTTAATCTATAAATTTTGTTCAAACCAGATACATGCTGCGCAAACATCCTGAGAGGTCAGAGACAGAGCTCAATTTTATCTCACTGTTCTGGCCAAATTTGCCATCAGGAATTCAAGCTGCTTATGAGAACATTGAAAGGGATGAAGTTTTACTCTTTAAAGGTAACGGCATCTGAAATTCTTTACTTTTTCTGACCAGTTCCTTCCATAACCTTTGCAAATTATGCAATTTCAGAGGCTAAAGTGGTTCTATAACAAAGGTCAGTGAAAAAAGGGTCTCTTACAAAGCTGCAAATTATTGAACCTGTGCCTGATAGAGCTATAATTCTGGAAGAGATCTCCAGAAGTCATAATACTAAAAAAACCTCCTTGCTCTGCTTTATTCAGTGCTCTGAAAAAGAAGACATAAAAATAGCTTCCCTTCTTCAGATCTAGTTCTCTTCAGATAACGGCATTTCACAGGATTTTTGCTAAGTTCTAACAAGTAATCCAACTGGTAAATAGAGGAATTTGCACATCACCATTACTCTTCTCACTATTAGCTTAGAATATATTGTTACAGGATGGTCTAATAGGACTCTTACGAAAAAAGTCTGAAGTCTAGTTTAAAACAGAACAGGATAATTGTTTCTTAGACTAGTAAAAGAAAAATTCTGGAAAGATATTTCAAAATGTATTTTTTAGAAATTATATAACGAAAGCCAATTTATATGCTTCTCATCTAAAATACAATTAAATGTTTATTAATAACAAGACCAAATGAAACATGCTTATATTTTTCAGAGGATAAGTACTGGGTTATCAGAGGATATGACATTGCATATGGCTATCCCAAACCAATCTATCGTCTGGGATTCCCAAAGACTGTTAAAAGAGTTAATGCAGCTTACAACGATGAGACCACAGGAAAAACGTATTTCTTTGTAGCTGACAGATACTGGAGGTGAGATTTAATATTTATCTACCAGAAAGAATATTTTTACTTGTCTCTGAAAATTGATATAATTAACATAAATTAAGCTATGACATTCAAGTGTACTCTGGAAATTCAGGCAGGTTTGTCTGAAAGTTTAAAGAACTAAAGCATTTGCTAATAAATGTCAATATCTCTAAAGCTTTGTTTGCCATTCTTACATTCCTGTCATGGCGACGTAATTATTTGCTACCAGATGAAATATCTGCCCATTGAAACAGCTATTTTATAGCAAAATTATTCACTTAGTATTCACAATATGTTGCTTTTCTGTGTAATGCTATGATAGTGTACACTTTTCAGTCACATTTCAAGCAAAATGAACTATTAATTAAAAGTGTTGTAACTGAATTTTCCTTTGAATAATCAAGCTGTGGATCATCAACAGTTGTACAATTAGCATTATTTGTAACTTAAGTGCAGCTCATGATAAATTTCAGAGAGTAATTTTGTTTAAAAAGTACGTGATTGACAGTAATACAAGTATGTTTCAGGTCTGTGCTTCAGTTTTTCTATTCCCCTCCTTTATGCTACGATTTTAGACCAAACTGAATATCCAACAGCTAGATATAGAAACACATTTTAGATGCAGTGATGGCCAAGGTGTTAGCTTAGCCTGAAAATCATTAGTATGTTCCTGGGCTTCATTCCCAGGATCCTTGAGAGCTTTGTTACAAACATCCCTGAGGGAAGGGTTTTTAGATACTCATCAGAACCTTACTACATAACAGAAAAATATCAAAATCTACTTTAGTTTATCCTTATGAGACTTCACTCTAAGAGCAGAATTGCATACATGTATGAACCTGCTTTGAAGTTTTAAAATGTTATCTGCTTCACTACAAGTGGTAATTATGGCTTTTTTGTGTGCTCAGATATGATGAAAACAAAAAATCCATGGATCATGGTTATCCCAGGAAAATAATCTCCGACTTTGGAAAAATTGGCAGAGTTGATGCTGCTTTCCAAAAAGATGGTAAGTAAAAAAAAATCTTTAAACTGAGTTTATTTGAATACCTGCTGTTCTGTAGGTAAAATCATTTATTTTCAAAAACCTGTTATTAGCCCTTAAACAAAGCAGCTGAGATGGAAATGAAAAATAGCAAGTATGCATGGAATATTTTTGCTGATTTTTTCCCCCAGAATACTAAAAAGAAGTCATCTATGAAATATAATTTGATTTAATTTTGTTTCCAGGCTATGTCTACTTCTTCCACAAAACAACTCAGTTCCAGTTTGATCCTCGTACCAAACGGATTGTCAATCAAATGGAGAGCATTAGCTGGTTTAATTGTTAATTGCAGTGATTGTGTTTCTTCTCCACATGCACACTGCGTATTTTTATGTGTATATTTTATATGTATATTTTTGTGCTGAATTTTTCAGCATTTCATGACTAACAGGTCAGAATGGATTTCTGCCTGGATTCCGTAGAAGTATAGTTTTAATAAGTATTAACTGTAATACAAATGTGTTTATATAACTTATTACACTTTTACCTGCTGCATTAAATATTCCTAATAAATTGTGTTTGTCATATCTTCTTGTCCTTGCTTCCTTATTTGTACTACTATTCAAAGCAAACTCTAGTTTCAACACTAAAAAATATACTCTGGCATGAAAAGACAAATATTTTTCCCATACCAGGCAGAGGAACAACTAGCAGGCTCTGGGCTCCATTGCCCCACACAAACTGGTGAAAATATTATGGGTAATTAGGAGAGCTGGGACTCAAGAACGTTAGTCCATAAAACCCACTTCCACTTTTTGCTCTTTCTTTTCTTCCTCACTTTCCAACCTGAGCCTTTCCTCCAGAGCACAGCTCTTTGCAAACGCAGGCATCTCTTCCCCTCATGCCTTTAGATTTAAGAACCAAATTTAAAACTGAAAAATATAATATTGTACAAGAGATCGCTGAAACCTCTGCCTTGATCTGTCAGATCATATTATACAAGGGGTGGGTAAACCTCATTTGTAGCTCTGTCAAGTGCTTACTATTTCAGTATCTACTAAATCCCTCCTAATTTCACTGGAATAAAGGATGAACTGAAAGTATCACTTTAAAAATTACAGTCCTTGGCCAAACAAGAAATTCATTAAAAATACAGCTTTACATCTAGCTTTACCAGAATTTTCTTCAAATATCCTCAATTAAAATGGTCTTTGATGGTCTTATTCACTTTCTTTCTTTTTGTAGCTCACCTGATAACATTGGAAGCCATATGGCCATAACAAAGTTCATTTTCTCATACTTCATCTGCATTATGCAATGCAGTAACCCAAAATCTTCAGAGGAAGATTCTGGGTTACTGCAATAGAAATAATAGGAATCTGAGAAAAGATCATATATCCTCATAAATTTTTTCATTACTTCTTTGTCTGTATTGGAAGTCTGTATTGGAAGTCTACAAGGGAAATTACATCCCTTGTAAATAAAGAACAGGCTTAGTAATTCTCACCTAGAGTAAAAATTAATCTAAAAGTTTTTGAAGATAAGAAACGGTATAACTGAAAATGGAGATTAGGTTTTATAAGGAATATCATATATAAAAAAGAAAAGTAATTAAATTACAGTAAATAAAAAACTTTAATTAATTTGTTAATATGAATCTTGTTCTCACAGAGTCATTCATGTACCCATTATTTAATTCAACACACCAGTGGCAATCCTTTTTAATATTTTTCTTGTGTAAGCTAGTGCTGTTGAACAATTAATCCAAAAATTGTTTCAAAAATATATAAATCTAAATTGATTATGTTGCTTTAATAGAGATTGTCTCCAGGCATATCAGCAGAAGATTAGAAGGAAAGATAATACTTCTTTCCAGATCAAGATTAAATTAAAAAATAGAAAATTGTGTTATATATTCCTTTCAGATGTGAACAGATCCTCAGAGTTACAGCAGAACCACTAATATCCCTCTAGAAATTTTAATTAGGGGTACTTATGGAGCAGAGAAAATGTTAAATGTGAGACAAAGGGTAAGGAGGTGGTTATGTTTTAAGGAAAGAAAAAGAGAAAAGATAATTTACAACCCTGTTTAGGCAGCTGAATTGCAGCCTAAGAGTTTTCATGTGATCTCAGGCATAGGCTGTCATGAAAGTCAAAGGTTTTTATCAAGACATTTGGTGAGCTTCTGAGAGCTGTACAGATCTCATCCTAAATTTACATCCTACATGCAGTCAGAAAAAATGCCATTTGACCATACTGGTCAGATTTCTGTTGATATCATGCAAGCCTAGACAGTTAACTCACATATAGACACCAACAGAGTGAACAGTTTGGAGAGCTGAATCCATGATGGTATCATGCTAAGATGACCATGCTGCAGAAGATTGCTATATGCTTTGGGTGTCACTTGGTACTGCTGATGTGGTGAGGAAAGACAGTGACTTCCTGAGTGAAAACTTGGGTCGCCTTACAGCAATTTGGATAAAACCTACTCTAAGACTACAAAGGAAGTCACGAGGTAGATCAGCATCCTTTAACACTAACCAATGCTAAAGACAAAAAAGAAACCGCAATCAGCAGCTGCTCTACAGCTACTTCTTTCCTCAGGCCTCAAGGCTCACTACAGACGTATTTGTGAAACATCGTCTGTGAGAAACTCCACTTCGGCCTCCCTCCCATGAGCAGTGGGAACTGGCTGCTGCATTGTGCAAGCGGTCAAGTAGCAAAAACCTTACACTAGCTTTGAGTAATGCAGGACTCCACAGCTGGCACACAAGTCTCTTCTAAGCAAAAAGTAATGTAGCTTGAGCTGTTAGCTGAAACTAGAAATATATTCTAAATCAGTTGTTTAATCTTTTCTATGCTCAGTAAAGACAACAAGTGACTACCTATTGAGACAGTTCATCCTGTCCTAAGACAGCTGGTGGAGTTACTTTCCAGAGAGACATATTTCTCCATTGTCTGCACACAAATGCTCAGCTAATAAATGTATAAAGGTAGGTGCAACTAGTCTTAACCTAGCTGCTTTCATTGTCTTTGTCCTTCTGCTGCTATACAGCAAACAGCTGTGGAGAATTGATGGCCAACAGCAGCAGGAAAAAAGGATACCAGGTTCTCCCAGTTCATATCAAATCTCACAATGTTGCCTTGATTTTTTACAAAATTATATTCAAATCAGAAAAAAACACTTTTTTGAAAAGGATCTTCTCATATCATCAAGAATTATGCATGGTGCAAAAACCACTGAACAGAGGTTTGTATTTCATAACCTACGCTATGTATATAATCAGAGGGTAATGCCTTCTAGGTGTGAAGCTATTGAGACAACCAAACATTTCAGTTTTAAAATGAAAGCAGAGCTCAGAAAAGACATTCTCTGTTTCTGGGTAAATGCACATGTCATCTGTTGTATCAGTTCAGTCATACTCCCCATCTCTTAAAATTTGTTTCCCTCGTTTGTACCTCAGTAAGATAAATGAATGGTATCCAGGTCGTTTGGGTCTCTTACCTTATCACAAGAAAATGATTGTAATGACAAATTAAGGGAGGTGGAGTTTTTTGTTACTGTAACTGAGAAATACCATTAACAAGAAAGTTTAACAAACAAGGATGCATTGTGAAATTTAGGATAGAAAATTTGTCATTAACGCCTCCAGTTGGAGAAAAGTTGGCTGCAAGTGACAGCAATAAACCAACAATGTGGAAACAAGGATTTCCTTTAAAAGCCACAGTCCAACATGAGGGTATTTCTTATAGCTCTTTCATAAATTTTGAGCACATACTGTCAGAGGTCCTCAGAGGTGTTGAACACCTTCAAATCCCATTACTATTGGTGAAAGAGAAAGGTGCTTGACCAGCACAGGATGAAATCCTATAATTTGTCACAGTTTGTGTGACTTGAAACTTCCTTTATTTTGAATTACTTAAGACAGGAAATAATCATATCCCCTGCGGTTATTGTGGTTAAACTGAAGTAGCCTTTCTTGCTGAAAAGGAAGACAGATAAATAGATAGATAGATGGATTAATAGATAAAAAGATGACTGATGCATGGATAGAAAGATAAATAGATGGTTGATAGATTAAAAGGAAGGAAGGAAGGAAGGAAGGAAGGAAGGAAGGAAGGAAGGAAGGAAGGAAGGAAGGAAGGAAGGAAAGTATGCCATCATTCACATTCTATGGGCTGGATTTATAGGGAAAGAAATTTTGCATATGTACATCCTGGAGTTTACCACTTTAAGTTAAACATACCACCTTTTTAAAGAGTTGCAGTGAAAAGATGGTTAGTGAGTTGAACTTTTCCTCCAATTTCCAAAATAGCCATTCTCACTTAATTCAAAAAGAAAATTTTGTACGTCTACATGACAGTAATTTATCCCAAAATTTTAATTTTTAGGAAGGGATTCATATCTGGTGTTTGACTCCTGTTCTCCTGACTGAGAGTAGATAAGAGTCCCTCTACATTTGGAGGCCCCGTTTCACACAGCTGGGCTAGGACACCCATTGTCCACCATTGTATCACTCAAAATTGCTCTGGTTCTCTAAAATGCAGTGTAAAATATCTAAAATTGAGTGTCAGGTTCAAAATGTCAGCCAGGCAACTTAGAAGTACTCAAACACTAATTGACTTCAGATGTCTGTGAAATCGGATGGCTTTAATAAACTGTTATTTTGTCAACCAGCAGTGTTATAGGATGTCTGGATGCAATCAGAGCATGGCAAATTCTGAGTCAGTTTACAGCTGACTCTACAATTGACTATATAACCATATAACTGCAATCTCAGAAACGATGCACACTAGGCAGAAAGCAGACCGCTCTCGTACGAGGATGGAAAGGAGTGTAAGAATGAAGAATCTTTTGCTGCTTCTCTTAACATATGCAGCTGTTTCTAATGCTCTTCCTGCCCACCCTGAGAAAGACAACAAAGAAGACACAAAGCTTGTAGAGGTAACTTTATTGTCTGTATCTGAGTCTATAGCCTTTCCTCTTAGATTTAATCTGCTGTTGTCCTAGCTGTGCAGAAGTTTGTTGTCTTTCTGAGACAATGCTGTTATACAGAACTCTGTGGTCCAAACTATTTAAATCAATAAAAACTTGAAATGTCAAGTAAATAAGAATCCTGTTTCTGTTTAGCTATGTTCCTCAGGAAAACATCTGTTTTTCTCTGAAATCAAAGGCAGATGATTCTGCTAGCACAATACACAAACATTATCAGTCCTAAGGTATTTGTTTAAGAAACAGATCAAAACATGAAATGTGTTTGCTTTGTTTTTTTCATTAGGATTACTTAAGTAAATTCTATACCATTGAGACAGACTCAAATCAGCGTGGATGGAAAACAAATGCTGATTTTACAGCTGAGAAACTGCAAAAAATGCAAAGATTTTTTGGTTTGAAAGTGACAGGAAAACCAGACACCGAGACATTAGAAATGATGAAGAAACCTAGGTGCGGTGTTCCTGATGTAGGTCTCTATGGTGTTACTCTGCCTGGATGGAAGAAAAACAATCTGACATACAGGTAGTATTTCCATAATTCATTTTCTGTGGTTTTGTGGGTATCCACTTTTGTTATATTTAAATATAACTTCCATAGCAACGGTTTCCAGATGGGAAGACAAAAATATTTTTCTTTCTCCAGCTGTTAGCTGAGCATATCCCTGAGAGCAATCTTTGAGAGTCAAGCTGAATATTTTACATTTTATGAGTCAACTACAGAATTTTGCCTGTTATGTGTCATTCCTAATATATATTCTGTGAGCCAAACAGAAATATCAGTTGCACCCAACACAAACCCCTTATCTTCAAAATTTGCTGTGACTGACAGCATAGTCCCCAAAACCCAAGGAAACAATTTTCTTTATGCTTAAGAGACCAGTTCCTGGATACAGTCCATTTTGAGAAAAACTGTTACCATGTACACAATTATTTTTCTGAAAAAGACATACTGGACAGTCATCACATCCCTTAAACTCATTCAGTTCAAGATGAGTTTGGGGAGCTATTGGGTTACAATGTAAATTGCTTCTTATGTATCTCTGTTTATCATCTTAACAATATCAGATAAATTCTTTATGCAAGCACTAAGTATTATTGCTTGAACCCTCATAACTGTAGGATTGTGAACTACACACCAGATATGAGCAAAGAAGAAGTGGATCAAGCAATCCAGAAGTCATTTAAAGTGTGGAGTACTGTCACCCCACTGATTTTCACTCGCATCCAAGAGGGAATAGCAGATATAATGATTGCTTTTGGGACAAAAGGTAATACACTGACTAAAAATCAATGGTAAGACTAATTTAAAGATTTTCCTGAAGTCATGACATAAGCTCAAAATTATTTCAATATCATATTATAGGACAATATGATAGAACAAGAAGTAATGGCCTTATTAGGTTATTAGGAAAAATATCTTCTAGGAAACAATGGTGAGGCATTGGAACGGGCTGCCCAGGGAGGTGCTGGAGTCACTGTCACTGGAGGTGATCAAGAAATGTGGAGATGTGGCACTGGGGGACATGGTTTAGTGGGTATGGTGGGGGTGGGTTGATGCTTGGACTGGATGATCTTAGAGGTCTTTTCCAACCTTAATGATTCTACCATTCTATGACTCTACTTAGCTCATGGACATTGCCCTCGCTATTTTGATGGCCCTCTTGGTGTTCTCGCTCATGCCTTCCCACCTGGCAGTGGTTTTGGTGGTGATGTTCACTTTGATGAGGATGAAGACTGGACCACGGGCTCAGATGGTGGGTAACAAAAGGTTTCTGAAATGCTATGCAAATGGTAAATTGCTTTCTGATTTTATTAGGCAAAGGATAAACTGAGACAAAGCAAAGCACTAGTTTGAGGATGTTACATGCTGCTGATGTGAAAACCAGCCTGATCTACTCTAGACCACATTACCAGATCCATGCTAAAAGCTGGCTCTGTTTCACCCCCCAGTACACATGCTGGCACCTGGCCTGCATTACTGCACACTTCCAGTCCTCAGCAATAACACTAAATAGGTCCCTCAATAGTTTGTTGTAGCTTTACTTTGTATTCAATCTAGAATGGGCTGTTGTGTGCAAGTGTTCTCCCAGCAGTTTCAGCTTCCTGGCACAACTAGGGATCAGAACATTCTGTTAGGATCACCCATGGGTGAGTGGGGAAATGACTACTAATGTGTGCCACCAGGTCTGAAAAAAGAGGAACATTGGGTATTCAACCTTCCACTTGGGACATGGCTGTTCTGCACCCAGCAGGCCATACAGCACCTGCTGCCTCTGACAGATGTGTCTGCACATGGGCACATTGCCCTCTTTTATTTTACACTCTTTTCTCATCTCATTTTGGGGATGGGAAATAGCAGAGGAGAACTGCAATAGACTTGAGGTCACACTGCAGGAAATACAAGGAACTAACAAACAGGAAGGTGTTGTAAGAGCACTGCACAAGGAGAGCTGTGGGCTCACTGTGGCAGAAAAGAGCTGTGGCATGGTGGCTGGGCTTGTCACGTAGACAAAATGCATTGTTTACCCTATACCGGGAACGAACGGGTCAGCCCCAGCTTTGCTGCTATTCCTCAACAACACCACTGCAGCAGTGCTACAGAACTTGTTGGCCAGCTTGGAAAGCTCATGAGAAGAAAGGACAGGAAATGTGTGTGGAAACTTACGGCTTTGTTTGTCTTTTTGAGAAATGGAAATATTGGCTTCAGACTGCCTGTCTTGGGCAATTGATGACAGTCCTCTGCTCTGCCACAGGCTTGTGATCTCCACTGTTATGTTGCTGGCTCCCAGGCAGCAGGGCAGATGATTGTTCTTCCCAAATTCAGAAAGGCGTATTACTCGGAGGAATGCAAATAATTAAATGCACGTTGAAGGAAGTTCCATTCTTATCTGCTTATTTTGTTAATATTTCACTGGTAATAAGCATGTATAAGCATAATTTTTAAAAGATATTTTATTTGGCAAGGCTACAGAGAAGATATATGCTTAAAACTCTTAGATAAAAAGGTAAATCATTCAGGTAAAACTGTATTTTTCCTTGTCTGTTCATGACCTCAGCTTTGTTACCCACATGGAGGAGGGTGGCACACAGTGACACTTTCGTATCTCAGCTGAGCACACAGTGCACCCTCTTCGTTCTCTGGATGCCGTCTGTTTGACCTGACTCATGATCTAATCTGCTCAAACTCGGCTGGGAAACCCTGCCAGGATACTCCTCAGGGCTGCACCCACACTCATCTCCAGACATCTATTCATGCCACACACATACTTTCAGCAGCTAATAGAAAGAACAGCTGGAAAGAGAGCCAAGAGTTGCTCCTTTGAATGGTGGAAGAGTGAAACCTACCTACATGTAAAATGTTTGTGCATATGCACACATTATGTATAAATACATGTACATGTACATGCATACCCTAGTGAATTTTAATATATTGTGTGAAAATCATTATAGCAATAGTTGTGTTGTGCTCAGAATGTATTACTCAACTGTAGGTCAAAATTAGACCAACCTCTGTCCATTTCTTAAGGATTCAATCTGTTCCTGGTTGCTGCTCACGAGGTTGGCCATGCACTGGGTCTCTCCCATTCTAACGACCAGAGGGCCTTGATGTTCCCCAATTACGCATATATCAGCCCCAGTGAATTTCCTCTCTCTCCAGATGACATAAGTGGCATTCAGTCTATTTATGGTAAGTAAAATCCACTTCCTAAAAAAAGAACTAAGCAACAGGGAAGTAATTTCTTTCACAAATTTTCAACGTAAAACTCTCATTGTATTCACATAATATCAAAAATCCATTTATATATGAAAAGCTTAATGTTTCTACAAATTCTGTGCTTTCTGAAACGTCTCCCTAGGTTCTGCAACAAAAATCCCAGGTAAAAGGCCAGCCATCCCTACATCACCTAATGCCTGTGGCCCCCAGATATCTTTTGATGCCATAACTACACTCCGACGAGAAGTCATATTTCTAAAGGGAAGGTAAAAATTGATGTGGCTTTTGTCTATGTGGAGTTTATGTTTTCATGTTTGTTTTCTAGAACGACTGAATGCCCAGGTGGATAGCATAACTATGATTATGGGATTTACAATGAAACAAATGGATAGAATTCAGAAATAATAGTATATTGAAACAAAGATTGTTAGCAGACAGATAGGAATTATGTTAATCTTTTTGTAGGATCCCTTGACGAAGTAGCCTACTTGTTGTTTCAGAAAACATCTTGATCCTAGTAGATTTCCTCCCAAATGTATAGACAGTTACACCAAGCAGTGAAATGAATAATTGCTGCAACCGTTTCCTAAGGGATAAGTATGTTCTACAATATAGTTTGACCACTATCTCTTCCAGCTAATTATGTAAACCTTGTGTCTGGGCACACAGAAAAAGCCTTCTCATCTGGGACCCTATGCCTCTCACATTATACAGTACAACATCAACCTGCATTTGTCAGCTGCTTGTAGGTGATATCATAAATCAACCAATACCAATGAGAAGGGTAATTCCAGAAATAAATCAGAACCAAAAAAAGCCTCGTATCCCAAACAAGGGAGTTTTCCTTTCTGACACATCAAGCCAGGTAGTGCCACTGACATGAAGGAACTTGTAAGTCGCAATGTTGTTCACATTCTTGTGCATATGTAGAAACATCTGTGGTTTATTGTTTACTACTAATCCTGTTCCGTATTTAAATCAGACACTTATGGCGAGTCTATCCTGATAACTCAGAAGTTGAACTTGAATTAATTTCTGCCTTCTGGCCATCTCTGCCATCTGGTATTCAAGCTGCGTATGAGAACATGAAAGATCAGATCCTGTTTTTCAAAGGTGAAGCACGGGATTTTCTTTAAATTTTTCTTCTAATTTTGAGGAAAAAAAGGAGGGACAAGGGTAGTTATACTTGAATTTGAAAACCATATCACCTTTAAAAAGGGAAGCTGGGGGGGTTTCACCAAGTTTTCCTACAGTATACACTGAGGGATTTTTATTTTTGTTTTTTCATTTAGTTTCTCAAAATCTAGAGTAGAAGTTCAGAATTCTTCCTTTTAATAGGCAATAATTTCTGGATTGTCAGCGGATATGAGGTGCTGCTTGGTTATCCAAAGAACATCAACACACTAGGCTTTCCTAAAGGTGTTAAGAAAATCGATGCAGCTGTTTGTAACAAAAATACAGGGAAGACAGACTTCTTCATAGGTGACAAGTACTGGAGGTAAGAAAAATTCACACTTTCTTATGATTGATTCCCATATAATTACACCATTAAAATCATCTGTATGATGAAAGAGAAACTCGACCTCTAGAGAACTCTGTGGAACCGGGTAACACACAAAGACACAAAAGATGACTCCTGCAGGGAAAAGAATAAAGCTTCCACTTTAGAGAGCTTAGTAGTGTGCTGAAACAGGCACCCAGGATCATAGAATCATTTTGATGTGTTATAACTGGAAGCTGAAAAAAAAATCCAACATCTAGACTGTTTTTACAAATAAAGTAGACAAAATTATCCCTAGAAAATAAAGAATCGAGAGGCAACCTACTTCAGTGGAAGGCTGCCTGGGATGGCCTGTGCAGAATTTCTCTGATTTCAGTTCTGAAAAGTCCTCTTTTAGACAGTTCATTTCCCTTTGTTTAAATGATTAGAATTAGATTTACAACACACAACTTTCAAATTTAGTATTAAATGTTGGAGGTTGGTGGCCCTGCCTGTGGTGGGGGGGGGTTGGAAATTCATGATCCCTGAGGTCCCTTCCAACCCAAGCCATTCTGTGATTCTGAAACATCCTATTCATTATCTGTATGAGTGATAAACAATTCTTGAACAACAGGCAAATAGAAGTAAAGTTAGCTTTGAGAAGCTGACAGATTTCTCCTTTGTGCAAGGGCAACTGCTGCAAAGGCTTCTTCAGGCAACCAGGAGCATATGTGGGTCAAATTTACTTTGTTATGACTAACTGTGGGGCTCCTTGGTGAGACATACTTTATCAGCTGCATTTTTTGGCTGCGTGTGGTTTCCTGTCCTTTATTTTTGATAGTTTTAGAAAGAATGTTTACGATATCTTGCAGTGCTATTTTACTGCCTTGGTCACAAGATAAGAACCTAAGAAAACCACGACAGCACAAATTTCTTACCTAGTAACACTCATTCTCTGAATCTCAAGAACCTGTGACAATTATTTCTTGTACCCAAGGAGGAGTAAACAAAGACTTGCTTAGATTTTATTTTCCCTCAAATTCCTCAAATTTGTTTCCTCAAATCTTCAGGAATTTTGGTTCCTCCTTTCAGTTCTCAAATTCAGTTTTATCTTATCAAAATTGGCCTGGCTTGATTAGAGACAACTTCATTTTCCTGTCTTCCATCTAAATCTGCGTGCTGATAAAGAACTATGTAAAATATTATATCAGAGTCCAAAAGCAATTTAAAATTCATGATATTTGTGCAACTACTACAGAGAAGTGAATAACATTCAAACGCTGCTTCATCCTTTACAGAATTGATGTCTAAATTCTGTAAATTCCATGTCTCTGTTTATATGATGTAGGTATGATGAAAACACCCAGTCCATGGAGAAGGGTTATCCTAGGAGGACAGTCAATGACTTTCCAGGAATTAGCCAGAGGATTGATGCTGTTTTCCAACATAAAGGTACAGGAAATTTGAGTACCAGTTTTAGCAGGAGAGTTGGACTTGATGATCTCTTTGGGTCCCTTCTAACCCCCGTGATTCTGTGATTCTGTGAAATGAGCTTTTAATTAAAATCAGTTTACTTGTAACGAGTATAAGTTCAGGAGTTATTATAGATGTCATATTTCTGAATCTTGCAAAAGACAGAACTGAACAGATGCTCTCCTGTGTGCACAAAGGTGGTGTTCTCCAGTTTGTTATAATGAAGCTACTTCTTGTTTGCACAGTGTAATGACTTATTTTTTATTCCTAGGATTATTCTACTTCTTCCATGGATCAAGGCAGTTGAAGTTTGACCCTACTGCTAAAAAAGTTATCAGCGAGGTAAAGAGTAACAGCTGGTTTAACTGTTAATACCATTAATCTTTCCTATACACAGCAAATGAAAATAAGTCATTCTAGATTTCTCTACAGTTGTTCATTTATACACTGTTATATGGAAGAAATAGTTGGACTAGTTTTTGTATGTTACTACTATTTTAAAGAACCAGCACTGCAGCTCTAATTGTATCTCTAGAGGTCAAGAGAAGAAAAAAAGGTATTTGTTCCCCTGATTAGGTGCAAAATGTCCAACATAATTTATGGTATGGGACAGAGGGGTCAAATATTTTGGTAATAAATCATTTTAAGTTTGATGTATTTTCGGCTTCATAAGTTGAAGGCATTTTGTCTTTCTAAGGGAAAGTGAAATACTTCATATTAATATGACTATTAAAGTTGTAAAATATTCTTCCAACACAGAATGTTTGTATTTTCCTTCTTTTCTCTCCAAACATCTTCAAGAGCCAGGCTTTTTGTTACTCACTTATTCTGCTGCCTCATCTCCTGCCATATTGTCCTGTACCTCTTTGGCTATAGCAACTTTGCACCTTTCACACCAAATCAGTATTGCTGCCACCAAAGTCATCTCCCTGCCACAGTGTCCAAAAACATTTACTCACCCCAATCTGTCTTTCTCTCCTAACAGTTATTTCATCAGCAGCCACTTAGGATCAATTCACAAATCTTTGTAAGCCTACAAAAGATATCCTTCACAAATCCTATTTAAGAAATGCATTCTTCTATCATTCTGTACTGCACTACTATCATTTGCTCTGATAGTACAAAATCTAGGCTTCCAAGTGGAAATACATCTGACATTTATTGTGTGATTCCACTGCACTCGGGGCAGACCCCTCACAAAACCAAGCAAAAACTATAAAATGACAGCTATAACTTCTTCAAACATTTCCTTTACAGTTAATTCTGGAAAGAGGCCCAAAACACACTGCCAAATGGCTGACATATCATGTGCACAGCTGGAATATCTGAGAACTTGGTATCATTGATATTGACTAGCCCTGCTCCCTAGTTCTCCCATGTCTGGCCGTTTTACACACCTGTTGCATGTTTAAGTAAAAAGTTTATTTTCATTATGTGCTCTTACCATGCTAGATGCAACAGTGTAATGGTTCCAACCCAAACCTTAACTGCTTGGTTTGGTCTAAAGGATGCTGTCCTTATGTTGCTGCCATTGCAATGAAACTGTCTGGCTTGGTTCCCAATGGGAAACCATAATGGAGGATCAGATATGCTATCTCACTGATCTACAATAGTAATCACAATGAACAACAACATACTCTAGATCCCTAACGAAATTTAAAGTGGGATGAAGCGTAGACATTTGATGGAAATCCATCTGACAACTTTAGCTTTCTGTCTCTCTGTATTCATAGTCTACATGAGTTAGGGAAGATCAAAAGAAGAGGGAAGTTCTCCACAGTGTTACTCATCTCATCCAAAGACTGTGTTAGGACAAGTCAGTACCTCCACCTCCTGGAGAAAACGTCTAAAACAACTAACCTAGAGTAACTAGTTTTCAGACAGCTGAAGTTTGTTGAAATGTACAGTGTCATTGCTAAGCATTTTTCAGTTTTTATGGGATCCCAAACAGAAGGGCATGCAATTTTATCTTTTCTGATGCTCACTTTTTGGTGAGACACACCACTGCTTTATCACTACAAGTCAATGATAAAGCTGAAGGCACTTACTTGGACCAACACTACCAGTGGAGTAGACACGAAGGAGGTACTGAGCCAGGTTACACCCAAATATTTATACCCAGAGGCAAGTTTATTCTTTCATACACTCTGCTTGTGTGTAACACAATCGTAATCTTAATTGCAAGAAAAGTTTAATCACTGAGTCATCAAGGTTACTCAGTGTTTCATAATACATGGGCAAGTTCCTCTACTTCAATACATAAACAAACATCATAGCTATTTTGTACTCCCTTCTTTTCTTTATTTTGTACTCCCTTCTTTCATTGTTTCACAACTTGAATAACTTCAGGAAAGTTAATTTTTAACATTAAAATGCTGTTAATGTTTTCTGACTGGCAGCTTAGGGATTGTGTTGAACCAATGTAGAGTACATGTTCATAGGTCATCTGCAAAAATAAATAAAGCAATGAATACTGCTTTTCCTGTATTCACAAAGAAGATCTGAAAAGTCACACCCAACAGAAAAGGGCTGGACTTTTGCTTAGTGATAATGGCACAATCACTCTGATTATCCTCTTCATTTATTGCTTCTGTGGTGGAATAGGAATTGAACAGGAACATCACAGTAGAAATCCAGTGAGGCTGTCCTTCTCCCCCAGTCTCTGTCAGGAGCTTGGCTAACAAGGGATTATGTATTGTGCCTCACTGTGCCTTCCCACAGCCCTTGAGAGCTGCCAACTCCACCTCCCCAGCATTCTCTTACAACATCTATAACTCCTCATAATGTGTATAATTTCTTATCACATTCCCATCCCATGTAGGTTACCAGCCTTGTAATGCTGTGTGATTACCCGTGAGCCGATCAGCCAGCTGGCCCTACAATCCAAACAAGGAATCAGTTATCACCCTTCCCTCATCTAGTAGTGATTCCTCTTCTCTAACCTGCCATGTTCCACAAAACTCCTAGGAACTTCAGTGACTCAATTCAGTTGGCTGAAGTTGGCCAGCACACTCAACACTTACTGTGGGAGCAGATGGGCACACAAGTAGATACACAGGACAGGATCCCATGTGGTCAGCCTGGAATAATTTTGTCAGTGTTTTCACTGAACATCCTTCTTGCTTTTCATTGCACATTTCCATTTGGTTTTGTAACATTATATTCTTCTTCTGTTGACCAGGGGATTTTGAAAGAGCAAACAAGGCAAGCAAAAAAGACATATAAAAACAAGGAGGTACCTAATTCACACTTGTCTCTCCAGTTGTTTCATATCACATATATATAATAAAAATAAGAAAGTAAATAAATAAAAATTGTTCTTTGTTTCTCAGCCAATATATATTTAATGATATGGGGACCCGAGGCAGTCTGATCTAGTAGTTGGCAACCCTGCCAATGGCAGGGGAGTTGGATCTTGGTGATCTTCAAGGTCTCTTTCAACCTAAGCATAATGAGACTGGATTAGGAAATGAGAAATTTATGTATTCTGATGCAAAATATAGCATCTGTGATGGGTTACCATGAAGAGTTCCTGCTCATTCCTCTGACTGTGAGGACGTGGATTCCCAGTATTTATATAGAAGTGCTTGAGCTACCAGAGCATCACATCCTTATCTCCAAATTGGAGGAATGTGGATTTGATGGGTGGACCACTCGATGAACAGTTTAATTACATTAACCCTTCTAAACTCTGAACCTTCATCATATCAGAACTACATCCAAGGCACAGCGCTGGCACTCAGTGCTACCATTGCAGGTACCAAGTCAGGAGATTAGCAGGAAACACAGATGGGTTGCACCATGTATAGGTGCCTAAAACAGATATCTAAAACAGGGGCAGAGACCTTTGCAGAACAACCACTCTTAACAACAGCCATCTCAGGGGTACAGCCAAGTATCTCTGGTACACCTACTTCGTAAACAGGACCTGAAGGTTTGTGATGTGGATTCTGTAGTTCTGGCTGTGCGAGTTTTCCCTGGTCTGCCTATGTTCTTTAATTAAAGTTTGTGAGGGGTGGTGGTAGGAGACCACACAGAGCTGTGGGCCCTCACCAGCATAAAAGTGCCTCGAGGGCTGGGACAGGAGATGCACAGCTGCCACCCAGCGGTGACAGCACTTCTGGCATCTGCTATGAGCTAAAAATGTTACAGCGATTCAGATGAAAAATCAGTGTTGGAAAAAAAAGAAAAAAAAACACAAAGAAAAAGAAACCAAAGTCTTACAGACATATGGCAAATGTTGTTATTACATTGAAGAATTTGGTAATAAAGATGAAAAATACATAGTTCATAACAGCACTGAAGAAAACTTTTTGAACATATGTATATATAGTACAAGTACTCTTATTTCTCACTGCATTTCAGACTATTTTCATTAGCTTTATAAGCATTGCTCTTATTTTTTTCTCAGGAGAAGGAGGCCAAACTGCTAGAGGTATGTTCTGGAGCAAAATGCTGCAAGTGAACAAATACAGAGTGTTTGTGTACAGATATATATAAACATCACCTGGATGTGTGCTTTAACAAGCTTAGAATATAGAAAGAGAATGGTTATAATTAAATAAATCTTTTTCAAGAGTTATAAACTCTACTTTCCTTTCCAGGATCACAATGCAGCAAGAAGATAAGCTTTAATTAGAGAAAATTCAAATATATATTTAAGTAACACTACTTCGAAATCTTTTGCTCTGTCAGAGTCCTTCTGAAAATATCTGTTCCCTGTGACCACAGAAATGTATCACCAATAACAAAGCCCACACAAAGCATGGCCATTCCTCAAGTACTTGGATGAGCAAATGTTCACAAGTTATTACAACCAAACAGATTCTTTTGCCAGCTTAGACAAGCATCAAAATATGTATCATGTTATGTTCCGAACACAGTTAACAAATTCTGCAGAGGCCTTCATATACAGAAAATAAGTTACATTCAAGGTCAAATGCTGGGCTAAATTTCTACCAGAAAGGTGAGTGGAAGCAACTGGAGAACAAATACCTAATGGATACATGGAATTGAATTAACTCATGGAAGCATGTGGAAAATAGATAAAATCCCATAATTTAACAGTGTTGATTATTCAGTTGTGCATGAAACAAGACTGGATCTCACCATTCTCATTTCCTGTGTAATCCCCTCAATTCTCTTCCCTATAGCTAAACCCCGCACTACACTGACCTTTCTATCTGTCTCTGGTTTTGCACAGGTGATCCTCATGTGCAGATACTTGTAAGTTACAATTTTGAGAACTATTTCTATTGCTATAAAAGAGAAAAAGGCTAAATAAAATATTAATTGTAGAATAGAAAACACAGAGGACATTATCTTATTTATTTTTTATTACGTTTTTTTGAGGGAGGTGATTGTCTTCCTCTACTCAGCTCTTGTGAGGCCCCATCTGGAGTACTGCATCCAGGCCTGGGGCCCCCAGTACAAGAAAGACAGAAAGCTCCTGGAACGGGTCCAGAGGAGAGGCACTAAGATGATCAGAAGGCTGGAGCATCTCTCCTATG